GAGCCGGTGCAGGGCGGGGGCGGGGTGTTGCAGCCCGGTCGGCATTGAGGGGCTGGAGGAGGAAAAGGCGTTGCACCTTAAATACACTCGTGACTTTCGTGCGGGGGCTTCTGAAATGAGTGAAAATGATATTCTAAGAAGTGGGACTCTAATATTTAGCTGGTGAGAAGTTAATATGCCTTTGCAGCCGCAAAATACCTGGGAAGCCATATCTGGGCTCTTACTAGGGCGGGGACAGGCGACCGGCGCAGTCCTTTTGTTCTCAGACCAGATCCTGGTCTGCCTGTGAGCTCCTTGTTCCGCCCTCGGCCTCCTGCGGTGGAGAGCCCTGCAGGCGTGCTCTGCCTGTGCCTGTGGGCCGCTTGCATCCCCGTGTCTCTGGGCGACCCAGGCACGGCGTTCCTGCAGGAGCACAGTCCCACCCAGGCCTGGTCGCCCGGGAGCTGCTGCTCTGCACCGTGTCCACGCGAGTCCCCCAGGCCCCCGGGCAGAAGCCTTTCCCCGCCCGCTGCGCCCGCCTCCGCTCGGCTCTCCAGGTGGCCAGCACTTGACCCTCGGCGCCCATCCACCCCTCCATCCCCCGGGCAGCCATGCGTTGTCCTAACCTGTGGGTCCTCTACCGGGAAAGGCTAGGCGCTGGCCACTTTTATTTCGTTAGCTTTTGGAGAATCGTGAAATCTCAGGCTTGGAAAGGACGGGAAAGGGCACTGCACCAGACTCCATCCAAGGCTGGCGGCCCTGCCGTCATTCCTGGTCACCTGTTCAACAAGTACCTTGGTGTCAGGATCTGCTTGGATCGCTTCCAGGCGCCAGGGACACGGTGGGGAACGAGACAGGCCCGGGGAGCCTAGCCGAAGCCTGAGTTCCTAGCGGTGAGCAGGGTCGGGAATGTGTCAGCCGGGCAGGGGTGGCCGCCAGCAGAGCTCAGCCGTGTGCGGAGCGCGAGGAGCCTCCTGCTTGAGGAGGAGCAGGTGTCCCGGGGCCAGAGGTGAGGTAGGAGGAGCCGCTTCCTGCAGGGGCATCGGGGCCCCATTCAGTGACGGAAGCCGTCAGAGGCCGGGCAGCAGGGTGCTAGGAGGAGAAGGGGGTGTGGAGCGAGCCGAGGCGGGTGGGAGAGTGCGCGGCAGCGTTGGAGGGTCAGGAATGGCTGATGTAACCTGTTGTGAAGGTAAATCTGACAGGGTTTGCAGGTGGGTTGCCCATGCAGCGTGAGGAGAAGGGGTGGCCCGGTGAGCGATGCTTTTCAGTGTAGGTCTCAGTGTTGCATGGGACATACTTCCCTTCAAGTTATGTGTTGTTGATCTGAAATCCCAATTTAATTTGGACATCCTGTATTTTCATTTGCTAAGTCTGGCAGACCTATTGCAAAGCAGCCCATTTTAAACTTGTTTTAAATCACATTTCCAATGGCCTCATTTGCTGAGCAGTTATTTAGGCACCGTTCCAGGGTTATCCCCGAATGGGCAGGGCCGATGAAAAGGTGGGGTGCAGGGGCGGTAGGCAGCGCGCTGAGAGGAGCCGGTGGGGTGGAGAGGCAGAGAGGCACTCGTCCTGTGCGGGGTGCTCAGGCTGGGCTCCCCCGGGCAGTCCTGCTGCTTCCCCGGGGACCCTCAGGCCTCACTGCCACGCGCCCGGGGCTGGTTTCTTCCGTGCTCCTTTCTCCTCAGGCTCAGGTCCTCTCCTGCAGAGTGGGGTGCAGCTCCCAGCCAGGAGGTGTTTACTGGGGTCCCGTCCCGTGCAGTAGCGACTGTCCCACAGCGAGGAAAGTCCAGCAGTGACGAATGGGCAGTGCCCCGCAGGCTCTCCTGGCTGGGACGGACTCCAGAGTTGTGGGTAGGGTGCAGGTTGGTTTTCAGAGGAAACAGTAGTGTCTGCGTGTCTGCCATGGTCCCTGCTGCCTGGAGGACTGTCTGTGTCCCCCCTCCCCGCCCCCCCGCCCCGGGCCAGAATGCCCCTGGGAGCTGGTGTGGCAGGTCATTGTCAGGCTCAGCCGCCATCACCTGCCCAAGTGACAAGATTTGCCCTTTTCCCATCAACTTGCCACAGATAGCAAAGTTAGCAGCTGCTAGCAAATGGTCCCCAGAGCTGCAGTGCTTGAGGGAGAGCTGTGGGGGGTGGTGAAGGGGGAGGGAGAGCTGTGGGGCAACGTGGCTGACTTGCCCTTTTGCAGGTATCCAGGTTCGACATGACCAGGACCTGGGCTACATGCACCACAAGTTTGCCATAGTGGACAAGAAGGTGCTGATCACCGGCTCCCTCAACTGGACCACTCAGGCCATTCAGAACAATCGAGAAAACGTTTTGATTATGGAGGACGAAGACTATGTGAGGCTTTTCCTGGAAGAATTTGAGCACATTTGGGAAGAGTTCAACCCGACAAAGTACACCTTTTTCCCACAAAAGAGGAGGAGTCACTGAAGCTGTGCTCTCACTGTGTCTTGGAGTCGGAAAAGCCTTAATGTCAGAAACTCCGGTTGAAACCAGACCAAATGTGCCAGGATGGGAGCAGCCAGTGTGCTGCCTGGAGCTGCGGCCTGCGGTGTCCAACTCGGCTCAACTGCAGAAAAAAATCATTGGGACTAAGTTCTCCTTCACTGATCCCGACGGGACCTCAGTGCTCAGTGCTAGGAAGGGAGGGAGCTCCTGCCGCGATAGGCCCGTGCGTGGACCGAGCTGGGGTTTCCCTCCCACCTGGGCCCGCGCAGCCACAGCGCCGGGACGCGCTGGCAGGAGCCTGGCTGGCACCGTGGTTCAGAGCAGGGGCTGCGCCTCATGCCCGAGCGGGTGCAGGGCCTGCTTCAGGGCTGCAGCTCTGGGATCCTCTCCTGAGTCCAGGGAATCTCCCGCTCTGGCCAACTCTGCCTCGTCAGCCCTTTCGGTGTCTCCTGGAACGCTCCCTCCCTGCTTTGCACTAGCCTGGCCCCTGCGCCCAGCTTGGCAGCACCTGCTGTCGCCAGCTCCTCCTGGCGGGCAGGTCTCCGTCGGGAGAGGGAAAGGAAGGAAGTCAGGAGGGAAAGCAGGTGAGCTGGGCGTGGTGGGCGCAGGGAGCGCCTCCAGGCCCTGTCCCACGCCCTCCCGCGAGCATTACCTGCCCAGCACACGTGGAGGTGTTTCTGTGGGCAGCTCCCTGCGGTTTCCACGTGGCCGGGTGTGTGGTCTGCCAGGAAGGGCTGTCAGGGACAGATCCTGCTTCTGTTCCACAGGCTGTGCTTTTAATTTTTAATGTTCTCACATCCGAAGTTTTGTTGTGTTTAGAAGTGGCCTTCACTTTGATCACCGTGGACTTTGCTAAGTTGCAGTTTTGGGTCCGTGCGATCACCCACGAGTTACCAGAGAGAAGGCAGCTTCGGGTTGTATCTTGCAGGTCTAGTTTATCCTCAGCGCAGGGTTTACACCCATAAGGAAGTAGGAGGCCAGGTATCTGACATACATTGTGAGATATTGCAGGTTACTTTATCAGAGCACGTATCTTTACTTGTGGGCGGCTTGTACCACGTGTCCTCTCTGCACTGTGGCTTGGGTGTGTGGTGTCTCCTTCCCCGTCGCGCTCACAGCGCCACCTAGAGACCATGTGTGCTGCACGTTTCTTTTTTAAAGTTACCTTTGACTTACGATGTCAGGCAAGTAAATGCAAAGTTAATTTTTCTTATTTAATTGAAGCTATAAAGTATACTGTGTGGATCAGAAATCACAAGAAATGGTCTTATGTTAAATGTGCTTTTTATCTGAGTCTGTACTCCAGCAGAGCATGTTCTGGAAAAGGGAGAAGTTGTACAGTGTCCTGGATGCCACACATTGAATAAATATGTTCTCATTCTGGAATGTTAGTTCTGTGTCTACTTTTTACTCAGTCATTCAAATTGGGCTGCTATTAAACAAGTGAAACTTGGGGAGAGGAAGCAACATACAGCTCTTTAGAAACTGTTGGTGAGCATGATAGCCTTGCAGGGAGCAAGGCCTGAAGGTGTTCCTTGGGGATGTCCCCAAGTGTTTCCAAGACACCCCCGCTTCCGGTCCAACTTCCAGCTCATCTGCCGGAGCTGTGTGGTTGAAGCATCCGTCTTTGGCTTCTGTAAATGCTTGCTGGCTTAAATAATAAGGAAAATAAGACTACTCCCATTCCAGAGAGGTCATTAAACCTTCCCCAGATGAAGTTACCAGTGCTGGCACCAGGCCAAGCCTTTGGTTGAGGTCTCAAAGCCCCAGCACATAGGGCTCTTTAAGAACTTGCAAAGGGGACCAGAAAAAACCCATATTTGGGAGACAAGGTAAAAAGATATAAATAGGGCAAGTTCCTCCATGTTGGGGCCCAGAATTTGAAACAGTTTTCTCTTGGCCCGCGCATAATAGTAATGAAGTGTGACTCCATCTCTCTAAGCGTTGCTTGGTTCCTCTCCTGTCTCCTGTAACATCAGTGGTTCCCTGACTGAGAAATCGAATGCGCTTAGCCTTTTTGGCCTCCCGTGAGTGGGCTGAGTTTAAGGCCTGGGGGAGTTGGACAGGCTTCCGGGAGGCACCGCTCTGCTGATTTAGCATAATTGAACCTGGGGGCTCTGGGCGCCCCAGGACCTCAGCCCAGGACCCGGCCGGCATCTGGCGAGAGTGGACAGACACCTCTGGACCTGTCAACAGAATCGGTAAGATAGGGACCCCAGTCAGGCCCACTCCGAGTGAGTAGAAGGGGGAGCTTGATCAGCTCCCCCAAAGCCATACGGCTTCCTTAGGCAATTAATCAGGAATCAGGTGGACTGTTAAAACTGAGTAAATATTTGGTATAAGTAAAGAACTCGAATTGTCTGATGTATAAATTAAGTGTGAAAGTCTGTGTGGAGTGAAAGCTACTTTGTGCCGTTTGGCTGTACACATGAGAGTATTTGTTACCTCTTTTGGTTAATTTGTTTAAAGATAGGGCAAACCCCGCTTTAGGGGGAAGCCTAAGTGTGTATAGTAAGGCTGAACGCTGTGATGAATTGCAAAAGTCTCTAGCAGCTGCTGAGATGTATTTTTCTCAGAGTCTTATGTTCTCCATCAAGGAGGGAGTCAGCCCGCTTAAATTTCTGTCTATGTTTATGTACTAGGGGTTTTGGTTTGCTCTTCCCTCCCTCATCTGTGATTTTGCTGTATTAGGTTGAAATTTTAGGAATTCTGGGGTTAATTTAAAGGTATAAATTTGTGAAGGGTGTAGCTCAGAGAAGTTTTAACAAAGACTAGACCACTACCCTTTCCTCCCCTGCTAAGGGCTGTTAGGTTAAGATTAGTACATTTTCTCATGGCCAGACTTTTCATAACTAACTGCTCCGGAGTGGGTGTGGGGTGGTAGTGGTGGGATTCGCTGGGTAGGGTGGTAGGCTCTCAGCCCTGAGCTACAGGAGCCCTGGGCTGGGGGGATAGAGGGATGGTCAGAGAGAACAGAGTAGCAAAGGAGGAGGATTTAAGATCCTCTAGGGCAGCGGTTCTCAACCTGTGGGTTGGGGTCACCTAAGACCATCGGAAAACACATGTATAATTACATATTGTTTTTGTGATTAATCACTATGCTTTATGTTCAATTTGTAACAATAAAAATACATCCTGCATATCAGATATTTACATCACGATTCATAGCAGTAGCAAAATGACAATTATGAAGTAGCCACGAAAATCATTTTATGGTTGGGGGTCACCACAACATGAGGAACTGTATTAAAGGGTCGCAGCATTAGGAAGGTTGAGAACCACTGCTCTAGGGGCTTAGGGTAAAGAGGGAAAATCTGTGAGGGAAAGCAACTGTTATAGGAAGGAAAAAAGTATCCTTAAATATAAAAAGCCTAAATATATACGATCTCAGACCATTTGCTTTGTTTCAGGACAGAGTAAATGGTTAATACAGAAAGGAGGGAGGTGTCGGCAGTTAATTATGAAGCAGGGAGCGATAGGTTTTTGTTGATTTTTACTGGCTGCAGACCGCTCTGCTGGCATAGAGGTCTGGTCTGTAGCCTACCAGGTGTCTTATCTGAACTGCACTAGACTCAAGGTCGCAAGTTTTCTGTGAGCACAATTAATCTCTTTCTGCCCCGTTTTATTATTTTTAACCCTTACAATACTAAATTAGACCGAAACAATATATTTGAAATTACGTAAGGAAAAATACAGGTTTTACTAGACACGTTTTGATTTACCCGCTCTTAGTTTCATCACAGAAGGTTTAGGTATATTTTCTTGGAAGTAAAAGTACATTTAAAGTGTGTTTATAAATATTAATCTAAGAAATGCTGGCTGCTACTTTTTGATAATTATTGCAAAAAGTAAAGAATTCCAAACATTTTAAAGAATAAAAGAAAGGTCTACAAGTTGCTGACAGTGTGACAGGAAAAAATATTAAAGATACTTAATAGATATGCCGAAACCGGTTTGGCTCAGTGGATAGAGCGTCGGCCTGCGGACTGAAGGGTCCCAGGTTCGATTCTGGTCAGTCCCTGTG